TGGTTCCTGGGAAAGATACTTTTAAATTCCAAATTTTTACCATTCCCAGAGTAAGGGCATTCTGGGTTTAGGGACTATTCAAGTGCTTCCATTTCACAGCAATTAAAAGGAATTCACACCTAAAAAGACTCTGTGTCTCACACATTTACCAGTTTGAAAATGTCATTTTAACTGTCAATTTATAATACTCTAATAGTCAAAAGATTTTTTTATAAAAGATTTTTCTAAATTTATTTTTTAGGAGATGGGAAAGGAGTGAGAAAGAGAGAAACAGAAACATCGATCGGCTGCAATAAGCACGCTCCTAAACAGGGAACCTGGCCCACAACCCAGGCATGTGCCCTGACCAGGAATCAAACCAGCTATGGTTTGCAGGTCGATGCCTAACCCACTGAGTCACACCAGTCAGGGATAACAGTCAAAAATTTTTGACTTTCATTAAACAAAACCTCCAGAGGGGAGAGGGCTACAAAGATTTAGAAGTCATGCACACGAAGCCTTAAAACCTGGCGTGCACACACATGCATGCACAGTATGTGTGTGCACATGTAAATCCTACCTTCAAGGGAAACCAGCAGGTGAAGAGATTGCTGCTGTTGATGTAAGGAAGCAATTGGAAGCACTTTTCCACATTTTTCCTCTTTTAGTTTTAAAGCTATGAAATTCATTTTTGTTCAGCTTAGCTGCCTTCACTTAGACTCTAATAGATTCATTTAGTGTCAAACACCAAGTCATAGACACAGGTAGCTAGCTACTTGGGACAGAAAGATCTATCTAATTCACAAAGGGGACACTGTTACATCAAAAAGGGTATGTGGCTAAAGAAGTTTCTTTAACCATATCTTCAAGTTGCCTTGAATCTAACAGCTCTGTGCATAAGAAAAAACCATATCACAGCCAACACAAAATGACCATGACTGGCCTCTACTTTTAATCCTCCTGTCAGTGATAAGCAAATACCTGGCAGATACCTCAAACCCATGGGTAGAACTGAGTTTCACAATAACTTGTAGCCAAATTAGATGAATTAGACATACACATAAACCCTAAGGAGAACCAAATCTGACAAACATGAAAATGAATGCCACCTACTGAAAGCATTGGGCTTGTTCTGCTGAGGCAGGACTTCACATAATCTTCATAGCGACCCTCTTAAAGGGTGACAGAATCCTAATTCTCCCCTATACAGCAAATGAAGAAACCAGGTTCTAGAGATATTAAATAATTTAACCAACATCGAATGAGCAGAAAATAACACATCATACCCCTGAACCTGCACCAATCTGATTCCAAGCCTGCAACCCTTTTCCCTCTATTCTGAAGGCACTGCTTGCTATTATGGTCCATTAACACGTCAACTGTTAACCCCAAGGAGACCGAGTTTCTAACGAAACTCCCTATTTTTCCAATTTAAAAAGAGTTCTCCTTCTATCAGTAGATGTTAAAACATCGTTAAGAGACAAATTAAAGGATATAAACCTGAACCAGGTGTGATTTACTGGGCTCATCCACCAGATTAGACAAAAATGATAGGAAAACATACCATAAAGGAAAGTAAAATAGTATTTGGTGACCCTCCCCCTAATATTCGTGCACTCTGACTTCTCAAGGCAAATAATAAAATGGCATACAGAAAGGCGTTTGTGGGTTCAACAGCTGAGACACTTGCGAGATCACCTTTTCTTAAATGCAAACTATGCATTTTCAAGATGTCCTTTCAGAAAATTTTAGTGCTTTGGGTCAAATAACAACTACAAACAGTAAAAATTTGAAATGAAAAACTAAGCTCTTTCCTTTATGTGTCAGTTATCAACGGCTTGCCTTTCAGCTTAAAACTCACCTTGTTTGCCTGTCCAGTAAAAATGAATCTGGGCTCTTTATTTTTCCATTTCAGCTGGCACAATGTTAAGCTTTGCCACTAGAGGGCACTGCAGAGATATAGCAGGAGGAAAAGATTTTGTTTCCAGGAGTCTATGCAGGGCTCCTCCTGCAGTCCAGGTAGCTTCTACAGATTGTGGCTTTTCTAGGGTCCAGCTGCCCTAATGCAAAGCTTCTTCAGTGCCAGGCTTCAGCTGTAATGCACTGCAACCAACCCAGTGCCCAGCGGCCAACAGTTTCCCCTGGTACTCTCTCTCAGGCAGTTTTGCAGCAGAGTGTCTTCTCTGAGAAACCTCCAGCATCCTAGAGGGCCAAATTATGGTAACTTCCAGAGGGTGGATTTCTAGTAAGTTCCACTGACATGGCACCATGGCAACTTCCTACCCATCAGGAAGCCACATCCTACCCTATCCAGAAAGGTCTAAATCTCAGCCACCCACCAGGGTGGATGGGACTCTCTTACCTAACACTAACTACTACCATGAAAAAAAAGAGGCACAAAGTTTGGTAGGCCTTTTTTGAGTTCTGGAAGTTTGTCCTGAAGGCATCCAGCCATGTAAAATGAAAAAGAGACATTTATTGAAGAAGATAGAAGAAACACTGTACATAGGACAATGACACCTCGGTCCACTTCAAATTAGGCACCTTGGGACCTCACACACTTCCAATCCCCATCAGTTGCCCTGTCATATTTTTCTGAATCTCAACAATGGTCAGAAATCTCTTCCCTTTCAAAGGTGATTTTAGTTTTGGGAAGGAAGTCGTCTCAGGCCACCAAATATGGGCTGTGGAGGGGCTGAGTCACCTGGGTGATTTGATGTTTTACCAAAAATCTCTGCACGAGATGTGATGCATGAGCAGGCCAACTATAGTGATGAAGCTGCCAATCACCAGCTGCCCATACCTGCGGCCTCCTGAATCATCTGAATAGTCTCTGTGGAGGAATGTTCAAGCTTAACAAAAAAATTGATGCAGATTCATTGCTCTACTTGCTCAGTCATCTTGAAGGTGATGGCTGTCAAGCCACACAGTACACATGCTCACTCAATTGCATCTACCACCCCCACTGACTGGTACGCTGTTCACGCATGCGCATTCCAGTCTACTTGCCTTGGCTGCCAGGTTACATCGATATCACACAAACTGTTCTCATTATATTAACAATGGTTGTACTTTTTCCAGACAGACGTCATATGCTACATTTAAGTGTGCTACACCTCAGCCTACCCGCAGAGCCACCTGGGGGAGTCCCAACTTTGAATGAAGAACTGAACAAAAGAATGCTATAAAGTAAGTTTGGTGCAACACAAGATTCTCTATCACGTGAGGCCCGTGATTTAGCAACTCCAAGGTTATCTGAAGCCTATGCCAAACAGATGCTGTAAGGAGCCTCACTTACTGTGTGTGCACTACAGCAGCTCTTCACTAAAGGACACCGGTGCTGCTCTGGCCAGGTGGCTCAGCTGGCTGCAACACTGTCCCAAGCACCAAAAGGTTGCAGGTTCGACCCTCAGTTGGGGCATGTATGGGAGGCAACTAATCAATGTTTCTCTCTCACTCTCTCTCAAAATCTATAAACATATCCTCAGGTGAAGATTAAAAAAAAAAAAAAAAAGATACTAGTGCTAAAGAAGCCAGCTTTCCCCAACAATCCATAGGGTGAATTTCCAGCAAGTCCCAGGAAGGATTTCTGGCATGCTTCGCTGGCAGGGCACTACAGTCACTTCACCACCACCATCAGTGAGCCACAGCTGCACACTCTCCAATACCAACCCTCGAGCAGAAGGCTCTTCCACAGGTGCTCTATCTCAGCCCTCGGAGAGGCAGATGCTCCTTATGTTTTTATATTCTTTAGAGTTCTCTTTTCTGTTAGCCAATCCCTCGTTACTCCAATTCCCTGTAATACTTAATAATCCTTTATGATAAATTTTCCCTCTTCAAAATACTACATAGTTTTACTCTCTTGATTAGAGTTACACCAATATACCTTATTAATACATTGGGTGGTTCAGTGCTATGAAAACCAACACAAGAACCTCACTTGAAACAATTAGGAGTTCATTTTGACTTGTTTTACCTTTAAAATTCAAAATTAAATAGGAATGATTTACAGCAAGTTTAAGCATAGTACTAAGTCTGAATTAATTTATATATTTCTTAATAGAACTGTTTCAATAATGGATTGGCAAGCTGTACATTTCTTCTACAAATATTCCATAGTCTAAACTAGCAATAATCAGTACCTAACTTATAGTTACCAGTTTTCAGCATTATTTTTATTAATTCCTTATCTCAAGTTTTAAAAGGCCTAAAATATGGAAGCCAAAATTAAAGATAATGTTATAAAAATATTTTTTGTTACTTTTCAGGAGCAGTTCTTACATATAAATACTGACAAATCTCAAATAACATGGGTCAAGGTTATTGGCCTGACTTTCTACACATTCCAGTAAGAGACTTTATCACTCTGGCCAGCTCTTAGCCACAAGGAAGCCAAATAAACATGTGACAGTGGCTTGGTGCAAGCACAGCAGTATCTTGGGAAATGACTTAAAAAGCAGAAGACCCATAGTGCTATCTTCTTAAAACAGTGTTTTAATGTCTGTTGTGCCTACTAACTGGAAATATACTAGGGAGTTTGTTATTCTTTAACAGTTTAACAAAATTTAAGCCTAACAAATCCCAACAATCTATTTATGAAATAAAAAACCAAAACAAAAAAATCCACTAAAATTATTCAGAAGGGAAAGACACCCACACTTCTTAAAAAAGTAAAAATACCTGCCAGCACTGCACCGAAAAGGGAGATGAGGGGAAGACTACAGGTTACACACGGAAAAGCAAACAAGTGCTTTGTGGTTTTTAATGAACTTTAGAATCACATCCTAACTTCTAAAACAACACAAACCAACAAATAAACAAAAACTAAAGATCACTGACAGTTCATTTTGAATGACTCCATAAACGAAATGCAGAAAATTGTTAGTAGCCACCATTATGAGGTCTAAAAAAAAATAGAAATTACTCTTTAAATAATAGAAATTACTGCTTAAAAGGTTGCTTTTGTAAAGGAGAAATGCTGCTTTTACGTGGAAATTTTTTTTAAATACAGTTTTTCTTACTTGAGAGAGTCCAGGGGACGATGCATGTCCCGGGGGCGTTGCCGCGAGATTTGGATGCCCCTTGTTTATTTCATGTGCCGCATAAGGGGAAGGGGTCGGGGGTCCCGGCTGTCTTGCTACCTGTGAGAAAATCAGTATTTAGGAAGAGTATTATAATCGTAACTTAGTATTAATAAATATAGCCTAACTGGCGAACTTTTTAAAATTGAAGCCTCTGTCTCACAAGTTCAAGTGCCAGACTGACCAAAGGCTTCAATTTTCAATACTGATGCATGAAATTCTTAGAAAAATAATAAACATGAATATTTTCATCAATTCAATAAAATTCTTGAAGCATAATCTAACACCAAAACCCCTGAAGGAAAAAATAGGCTAAATGAAAGAAGCCAGACTTAAAACTAACGTACAATGCCATTCATATCACATTTTGTAAAAGGAACAGAAAAGAGATAAATGACTGCAAGGAGATGAGGATAACTACAAAAAGACAAGGAGATTTTGGGGAATTACAATAACTTCTGTGTCTTAATTACAGTAGGGATTGCGAGAGAGAGAGAGTGTGTGTGTGTGTGTGTGTGTGTGTCAAAACTCACAGAACTGCCCTGGCTGGCGAAGCTCAGTGGATTGAGCGCGGGCTGCGAACCAAAGCGTCGCAGGTTCGATTCCCAGTCAGGGTACATGCCTGGGTTGCAGGCCATGACCCCCAGCAACTGCACATTGATGTTTCTCTCTCTCTCTGTGTCTCCCTCCCTTCCCTCTCTAAAAAATAAATAAATAAAATCTTTAAAAAAAAAACTCACAGAACTGTACACTAAAAATAGTGAATTTTACTTTATACAAATTACACCTTAATAAAATTGAATCCAAAAACATGGCAAATTACTTAAAGTATAATCTCATTTTTGTTTTTAAACAGTACATGTGTATCTATTTCTATCTGTAATTGTCTACGTGTGTGTACACATATACACACATATACATTCTCACAAATATATACATCATGTTAAAAAGAGCTGTAAGGAGATGCACAAAGATCTTAATAGAAAGCATTACAGGTTTCTTTTTCCCTCATTTTTATTTTCTAATACATTTCAACAGAAAAATAACTAGCATTATATTTAAACAAAATTACATTTTCCCAGCTTTTTGCTGGCAATAAACTGCCCATCAGCCTGTGACTGATATGAGACCACTTCACTCAGGCCCCTTTCTCGAGCTGAGCACTCAATCCCAGCCAGCTCTTCTCTATCACTGTTTAACCCAGACTAGCACCGCCCTCCATGGATGGAGGGCAGGTCTGCAATCACCTAATATTAGAGAGTCTATTCACCATAGGGTGGGTTCTTTAGTTTAGTGGGCCCTTAACCTAGTGATAACTACACACTTTTTCCTAGAATCATATTTTTAATGCCTGAAATACATAGAGCTATGACAAAAACGAACTACATTAAAATACACTTGCCTACATTCATAATTCAAAGAAATAACATTCAATAAGATATTCTCTCTCCATTTTAAGTTCTTAGATTCCTCTGCAGACTATCACAGAGTTAAAAACTCTGCCTCGGTTTAAAAAAAATGGTCTCCAAATGGCTTTAGATTTACCTGAATTCACTCAGAAGCTGAAGAAAATTAACTCCCTGGTAACCTAACCTTAGAATTGCTTATGTCGATCTAAAATATACAAACACCTAAAAGGCACAGGTGCCTTGGCTGGTGTAGCTCAGTGGATTGAGCACAGGCTGCAAATCAAAGGGCCACCGGTTCGATTCCCAGTCAGGGCACATGCCTGGGTTGTGGGCCAGGTGCGGGCAAGGGTGGGGGGGCACACGTGAGAGGCAACCACACATTGATGTTTCTCTCCCCTTCCTTCTTCCTCACCTCCCCTCTCTCTAAAAATAAATTTTAAAAAAAGTTTGAAATAAATACCTGACACATGCTCATTAATTTTTCTGAATTTTTAGTTACTAAATAAATGCTTATTAAACAAATAAATGAAAAGACTGCCGATTTTACCAATCTAAAAATTAACAATATAGTCAAGGTTCTTTGGGATTTGTAACAGGTAAAGAAATTAAACACCCTTCTATTGAATATTCGGCATTTGATATGGCAATTAAGCAACTGCAGAATGACAATGATGGACCAAGATGCTAATCCTTTACAACCTCTTGCCCACAGGATTCCTTTGACAGCCGGAATGTGCTTTGAAAAGACTTTTTAAAAATGTATAAAGTGGAAGTTAAATGTTTCCATTTCTATCAAAGCTTACAGTAAAAAATGTCCTCTCTATTTATGTCACTAACTTTACAACAATAATAAATCCACATCTTGAAATAATAATGTTCAATTTTTCTTAAAATAATTACAACTCCATTTACCAACAATTACTTATAACAATGCAATTTCCTGTAACTCATTTTATTTTAAAGTGGTCCCTTATCAGTTGTTTTGTTTTTAACAACTCTACACATAATACTTTGGAAAATGGCCCTGAAGGGAATATTCCAGAGTTTAAAAAACACATTTTCAAAGTTCTCTAACATTAAAAGACTTGATTATTGTATCTATTTTCTTATCTGAGAAATGCAAAAGCCATTTATAGATGACATTTAACAGAACACCCTCTGTATCTTTAAAGCTAATCCTTCTTTTGAAGGAGTAAAATCAAGTGAATAGATATTAAATAATATTTTAATTAGGTATGCAATTGAACATTTAATGAGCAAATACACATTAAATATTAATAACAGGGAATCCTAACTTTCATAAATGTCATTACTCGCACCTACCAAGATATGTAGAAAAACATACCTAGAATTTTTAACGAGGATTATATGCTAAAATACACACACACACACACACACACACACACACACACACACAAATTAAATGCTTTAAAAAAGAAAAAGGTACTGCAAGACTGGGATATGTAAAATTTTGATAAGGTTATCTGTCCATTTAACCCACGACATGTAAAGTAACAATTGGACTATTCCTCTACGCTGAGAATGAGGACCTCAGTGCACACGACACAGCATGCATCTACAGTGGGACAAGGAAGAATCTTATCAGTAAGAGTCCTTTAGCTAACTGCACTTAAGAAAAAAAAGAACAACTTTAGGTTTGCATGTTCACTGTTCTGCAAAGCAGATCCACGGCTTTCATCAGATGAGCAAAAGTTCTAATCCCCTAAAAGCTGAGCATTGTTTTTTACCTTATTTGTGAAAGTTCAACAACAAAAAAGAGCAGCTTCCACACAGCAAGTAAAATGTAGTACTTCACGTGAGCTGTCAAGTCCGATAAACCTGTATTCAAATCACACAACTTCACCGAGCCCCATTTCCTTATCTGTAAGTGAAGGTGTCATCACAAACACTGTAATGCATGTAGAGCACTGAGTAGAGTAGTTAGAACACAGTAAATCACTCAATGAATGAGCCATCTGAGTTCAAATCCAGCCTCTACCTACACTTCATAGCTGGATAACCTTGGGCAAGATACTTCACCTCGGAGTCTGCTCCCCCAACTAATAAAGGGGATATAATGATACTTACACTCTGTACCTATCTTGTAAGGATTAAATGAGTTAACACAAGTGAAGTGCTTAAAATAGTGTCTGGTGTATAATAAGTGCTACGTGTTACTGATGATGATGAAGAAAATGTTTTATAAACTGTTTTTTCACCTTCCCCATGGTCAACTCTTCTGACCAGGTTTGGTAAATTTTTATATACATTTCATGATTCATTACACGATGCAGCAGTATTCACATAGTAGACACCTCAAGACTTTAACTGGAATATGTTCACCTACCCCCACTTCAATTAAGACACAGTCCAAACTGTCTGCCAATCTGCTTTCTATGGCTTCCTAGAGTTCATCTTGTAATCAGTCCTCCCAGTCCCTCTGCCTAATGAGAACCCAGGACAACAATACCTTAAATGTAGCTTACTACTTATTTACATATACATGTTCTAATTGGTATAGTTGTTAATGTCTTCATTTTCCAATATGTACTTAAAACAATGTTTTACCATCCCTTAAAGACAAGAACTCTTAAAAATAAGGATAATAAGGATAAGTAACCACCATTGTTTCCCCATTTTATCTGACAAAATATCTTGTACACACAGCTATCCTTCAATAAACACTTACTGAATTCAGTGTGTCTCAGAACCCTTAACAACTGTGCCACATCCCCACTGTTTAAGCCCCAAAAGCAAGCTCAACAAGATTAGAAGGTATTTTCAGTTTAATTTATAATACCACAGAAAAGTAACTTCAGACACGTTTTAAACTGTTACAACAGATAAACCTATTATATACTGAGAAAGAATGGCAATATAGAAAAAGATGGGTCTAATTAACAGATACATTTTTTCCACAAAAAAAGAAAAAGTAGAACTTTCTGAAGATGTGAGTACAAGGTGAGCCCCGAAAGAATACTAAATGATGGAATATACCTAATCTTGGATGTTAACCACTTTCGTAAAATTCAATCCAAGTTCATCTTTTAAAGTAACGCAAGGCTTAGATTCAGCCAACCATACACTTCAGCAGGCCCACTTCTAGGTTTACACCCAAAGAAAATAGAAACAGGACAGCAAAAAGGTATCTGCACTTCCATGCTCACTGCAGCACTGCATTCACAGTGGCCACGACACGGAAGGAACCTAAATGTCCATCAACAGATAACTGGCTAAAGATGTGGTGTACACACACACACACACACACACGCACACGCACACACACGACACGTCAGAAACCATTTCAAGTCAATACACATATCTACTTCATTCTCCTAAATGACTATATTCTGTAACAGAGGTATAGCTATATTCTTTTGAACTATTAATTTTTAAAAGGTTAGTTTCTTAATGAAAAAACTGTATTAGCTAGTACTACTTTGAGAGCCAAACATGCATACACAAGTGTTGGGAACCACCCTGCCTGGTATCAGAAGCTGAAACCCCCGCCTAGGCTAAGGCTAAGGGAACACCCTTGGAACCGTAAGCCAGCAAGGAGACAAAAGCTTATCTCCCTGGCAGGAATGCTGCTTCTGCTGCTTTATTCATGACTGAACCCCAAAAAGCTTGGTCGGTTAGCCAAAGACAGGT